TAGTCTAATAACACATTGGACGATAGGATCACCGCACGTGTATACTATGAGTTTATCATTGAATAACACAAAGTATACTTTGTGTTATTCTCGTGATAAACTCATCGTATAATAACACATTGGTGTATAAGATCACTTACTGCCTTCGTGCATACTTTGCAGTATTTCAGTAATAACCTCATATTACTAAATGTCCAAGTCTCAGGGTTGCATCTACATTACATATTTTTTTTGTATACTAATTAGCATAATGTACAGTTGTATTTTTTGATAGAAATTTGATTTAAGCCCATCACACACCACCCTCTACAACACTGCATGATGTGACTGTTAATGTTGGTCTGCATCAGGTATTCATTAACGGACTTATTCTATTTTTTACTTGCATTGTAGATTCCAAGCATGTTCTATTTTTAATGTTTGAATGAGTTGTTATGGATGGTATGCACTGCTCATTGCATATAGCATTAAGAGCTTGAACCAATCAGTGGGAGGCATGTGAAACCAGAAGATGACAAATAAATCACCTGCTATATCATACCGTCATGCATGGTGCTACAAGTCTGCACTTATAAGTTGTGGAAATCACATGATTTTGACATAACTGGGGAAAACAAAGAGTACCACATCATTAACAGTATATGATTTGTTTTAGCCTATGTCACCAGCCTACAATTTGAGATATAGCATATTATCTCTGCCATAGGAACCTATGGTAAAGGCAATGTAACACTGCCAAAATGATCACAATCCACTAAAATACTAACATCATTTTCTTGAAAATTATGCTGGTGACCCCCAACTTTTTTCAAGTCAATATTCCTGTATAGCCCGGAAATACAATTTATTGGAAAATGAATAAATTCTGGGTATTCAAATTCATGAGTAGGCTTCTACCTTAATCAAAATGAGTTATATTGCAAAAAATACATTATTTAATATTATTATTTGCTTACAGTTATAAACCTATAGTTTAAAAAAAATCATTATGAAATAAAATCTAAAATCTGTTGTTCCTTGACTTTAGTGTAATGCTGATAATTCTAGCCTAGTGCATTGTTTTGCTTTTAACTTGTGAACGCAACCTAAACTGAAATTCAAACTTCCTGCAAGTGTGCTGGCAAGTGTCGGTGCTGTTTTTTTGTTTTATTTAATATGTTAATTGATGAACATTATAAATAGGAATTGTGTATAACAAGTTGACAATAAAACTATGTTCAGTCAAGACCGAATGGCTAACTTATTATGCAAATTAGCTAATTATTATTCACATCAAAATCCAATCAGGTCTGAAATCCATCAAATCTGTGTAAGACAATGCATTCCAATCTACCTACATCCATCCATACCGACCGACCGACCGACCGACCGACC